TTCCATTTTTACAAAAGAAAGGCACACCTCTCACCACCCAGTGTCTTATTAGGGTGCACTAAACTTAGAAGGATATCTGAAAAGTAAAAGGACTACCTGAAGTATTGCATAGATGTTAATACAACAAGTGCTTTCACGACTGGGCAACAGATATGATTGCAAGTGATGTCCAACCCTCTGCTTTTAGCATAAGTGAAGGATCACATTTGAAAGATCACGGAAAACATTTTTTGGCGATAGATCACTATGTGATTTTTGGCAATATAACTCTGAAGAAATTCAAAGAATTGAGTGATGTTGTACAAACAAATCCCTTTCCAATCCCACCTATGTATGTGAACAGGTTTGTTAAGCAAAGGGATAAGAGATGACATCCCATCTATAACAAAAAGAGCAGATTCTATAATAGATGATCGGAGAAGAAGCCAAGACAAATGAACATATTCAATTCACCACGTTTAGTCAGAAACAATTTATTCCTGAAGTTAAATTGTTAATATATAACAGGAGGGTGAGTAGAAACTACCCAATTTGAATTCAAATACTTAATGACTTCAAGTCTGATTTTCTGTGTGACAAAGATAATTTTGGTGGTGGGAGAGTGGTGAGCAATGAACAGACTAGAATGTTACTATAGCCATATAAATCACTACACTTTGCTAGGAAGGCAGAGACACCACAATAAATCTAGTTAGCATTCATCACCACACAGTTACAAATTTTGTGTGTATAAGAACTTTTAAGATTTACTCTTTTAGCAACATTCAAATTTAAAAAAAAATAGTCTTATTAGCTATTATCACCATGACGTGCATTACATCACCATGATTTATTTATCTACAGGAAGTTTGTACCTTTTGACTCCCTTCACTCATTTCACCACCACCCTCCCTCCACCCAGCCCCGTCTCTGCCAACTGCCAATCTGTTCTGTTCTCTGTATCTATTAGTTCATTTGTTGTTGTTGTTGTTGTTATTGTTTTGGATTCCACATATAAGTGAGATCATACAGTATTTGTGTTGATCATTTTGCGGGACATAACAAATATCGAATTATTATATCGTACACCTGAAACTAGTGTTATATGTTAATTATATCACAATTTTTTTAAAAAATACCCTGTTGAACCAAACAAACAAAAAAGGCAGAGACAAAGTGCAATGAGAACTCCAATTGTAAATGACATGGTGGGTTGATAATTTGTTGTCACTTTTGGATATATATATGTATATATATATCTCCACTATCTAAAAATTGACAGTTTTACTCCCAGCAGTTTTCACCTGCCTTTGATGAAGAAGGACTGAGTTATCAGCAAGTACTAGGGATGGGTTAATTCTTTCTATACCACACTTCAGTATACAGATGGTCCCCAACTTACAATGGTTTGGCTTATGATTTTTTGACTTTACGACGGTACATAAATACGACCCAGGAGAAACCATTTTGAATTCTGAATTCTCATCTTTTCCCAGGCTAGCAATATGGGGGATGATAGCCTCTGGTGATCCTGGGCAGTGGTAGCTCCCAGTCAGCTCTAAGTCACCAGGATAAAAAACTGATACACTTATACTGTCCTGTATGTACCCAGATAGTTATTCTGTTTTTCACCTTCGGTATATCATTCAATAGATTGCATGAGATATTTACCACTTTATTATACAACAGGCTTTGTATGAGATGATTTTGCCCAAATATATAGGCTAATGTAATTGTTCTGAGCACGTTTAAGGTAGGCAAGGCTATGATGTTCAGTAGGTTCCGTGTATTAAGCGCATTTTGGACTTACATTACAATGGGTTTATTGGATCGTAACCCTGTCATAAGTCGAGGGAGATCTGTACTCCGCCAGTACAGAAACATTTGTTTACATTAAAAAGACATACAATAATAAGTCTAAATTTTTAAAAATAAGTGTCTCTAAGCCTTGGAGCAATCTTTCCAAGCATACATCTTCTGCATTTTTATCTTGTCATAAACCATAATGCCCCCCATTCTTCCAATTCCTTAAAGCAAATTTACAGATGAGTGTGACTATCTCTACTTAGAGCCAAGCTTATCTTTCACACAGGGAGTCAACTTCACATGGATTCAGTGATGATCCTTTGAAGGAGTTAGAAGAGCCGTATCATTTCATCCTCATGCATGACTGAGGGGTATAAAATCCCCATTCCACCTCCAGGACTAGAGTGCAACCCACAGACACGTGCACGCGCACAGAAAGAGCAACTCAGGGTGAGATTTAGCAAACCTGAGGGACTATCAGTTGAAATTTTCCACTCTAAAACAATTGCATCAGAGAGGGCAGTGCCAGGAGCCGTGTTTTATAGTTGACTTCCCCCAAATTACAATGCAGCTCAGATTCAAAGTCTCTATTGTAATCTTTGGCAGAAGTTTTTAAGACCATTTTTATTTACTCCAAACTCTATCTGAACTAAGTCAGCACAGGCCCTTTGCAATTTTTACATCAAGTGTTTCAAGCTGTAATTAAATGAGCAGTGGAACTCCAAGGAAGCACCGAGAGAAAGCATCAGGGCATCACTTATTGATTGGTGGAATTTTAGGGATTCGAAATTTCTGTTTTATTGTACCACTGCACTTCATTACCATTTATCCTTAAAATGTAATAAGTACAAACTGCTTCAGCAATGATGGAAAAGCTTTCTCAGCTTTAATGAAACCTTTTATTTGGTACTGAAACTTTTATTATTTCCAAATGGTGGCATAGGCAAGAAAAATAATCCCTACTTATATTGACGAGAAACTTCAGCAATTTGAATAATTTTGTTCTTGGATGAATTCTAAGGCATTTAGAGTTGTTATTCTTACGTTTATTGTTTTCATTTACTTTTGATGAACTAAAAACAAAAAAAATACACATATACACGTTGCTACAAAATAATTGTCTAATTATATATCAAAATGCTAGATAGCCATGTACAGCAATCACTTGTCAGATGTTGGTTTGATCTGGATAGGAATTTCTATATATCTAGGGCTCCAATACATCTCAGCTATTGGCCATGAGACGCAATGCAGTGTAATTGCAAGTGCACAGGCTGTGAAACTGGACAGCCTGGTTTTGCTTTCCAGCCCTGACACCTGCCTACCTGTGAGACCTTTTGAAATTTTCAGACCTTAGTTTCCTTCCCTGTGAGAATGAGGGTGACTAGAACCTGCCACATGAAATGGGTGGGAAAATTAAACGAGGTATATCATGTGAAGCATTATTTTACAGCGTGGCACATGGTAAACACTTGTTCAGCTCTAGTATGCTTTTCATATGTGAATACGTCCACCTCCAGACTGGAGGGGGTGTCAGAACACACCATTCATTCAACAAACATTTACTGAGCTTTACTTTACGCAGAACATGGACCTAGGTAAAGGAGGCACAAAGATTAATAAGATAGTGCCTACTCTCCAGGAGCTTACAATTTTAGTGCAAAATTATTGTTACCATCTTAATATCTTTCTCGAAGACTACCATGAAGCATACTCCCTCCCTAGATCATAAATTTTCCTTTTTTCCAATGTGCTTGGAACTAACGGAGCTTCAAAAAAATTTCACTTCAGTTTCTGAAATCTTAATCATGCACAATTTAATAAGCAGCTACAGGTTTTTCCACATTTTAAAATGGATGATTAAATGGCCTAATAAGATTCTAACTTAGCCAAAAACTTGAAAAACATAGGAAGACAACCATGACTGACACATTCATTTTCCTGAATGTGGACATACTGCAAACAGCAGCTGCGGAAAAATAGGGCCATTTACAACCTACATGACCCACGGCTAACTAAAATTGCACAGGAGTTCAGCATCAAAGTGTTAAAGTACCTAAACTAAATTCAATTTGAGATAAAATGAGAAGCTTGTTTAGTCGGAGCTACACTGCTTTCCAAAAAAAGTTCTGAAATTAACTTCCAACATGGCACCTTGTATACCTCTAGTTTTTCAAACATTCTGTTCACATCATTACACTCAGTGAATTCATTAAAAAATAAAATCTTGAAGTGCGACTATAAATCCTAAACACAATGACTAATGTGGTATTTCAGACATCACAAACTCCAAATGATCTTAAATATGTTGTCCTCTACTAATTTGCTGCTCTTGAAAATGTGCAATAAATCCAATTAAAAAGGAAAACATTTTCAAATTAGTTGCAAGATCAACTAGAATATGATCTGCTTACTAGATGTATCATAATAAAAAAAACCACCTAATATGCATTACATTGTTTAATTTAGGAGGACACTGGATATTCTCCCTTCCAACAAAAGGACCAAGACCTTTTATTTCTTAAACAACATCCAATAATGACTGTGTTAACTTTCTAGAATAGATTAAATAATTGCCAAATACATCTTCTGAGGAGGCACCCTGCCCAAAGCAACAGGAGATCATGTGTAAACACACAAGGACACAATTCCTTCCTTCTCTCCTTCCTCTTCAGTATCATACCACCTTCCCTGGTCAAAACCCTTTTAAGGATCCCTATGACCCTGAAATAAGGGGCACTCCTCACACTAGAACCTGCTTCGACATTAAATCAACTCACACCTCGTTTCTCTGCAAGACGCCACAGTGAAAATTTATCTCTCGTTCCCAAAGCTCCAAACGAATGCATATTTTGGTGACCTCTACTTTTGCATTCAAACACACAAGTCCCACGCCATGGGATCTTTTTGATCCCAGCTAACGTCCCTGCTTAATGTATGCGTTTTTCACATCCATTTTTTAATCCTTCCAGAGTGAAAATTTCAAAGAGGCGAACGTCGGTGAAAGAAGCGAGGAGAGGGAGGGAGGAGATAGGAAGCCTGGGATTTCTGCCATCCTCAGCGCAACCCAGAATCCGTATTATTTGTTTCTTCTTCCCCAGCCTCCCTCTCGCTTCCCCCTCTCGCCCCTTCCCCCGCAGCGGGAGGGAGGAGGAGGGGCCGCTGGCTGAAGCCGCCACCTGCCGCGGGGTGGAAAAGCTCCAGTTGTCACTTACCCAGCCGGGTGAGAATGGCTCATTTTTGCAGGATCCCTTTTGGACCCCGCGGCAGGTGCGGAGGTCGGGTGCGCAGGGCCCTGTGCGCGCTGGCGCAGCGACACTTGCGCTCGCAGGGTGGCTCCGCAATGCGGTCGCCCGTGCGCGGGCCACCTGAGCTGGGCCGCCGCCGCCGCAGAGCTGCCCTGTGGCCTCCCGGGCCCCCACTCGCTGGCGGTATCCACAGCCTCGCGGTTGCTAAGGGAGGAGGGAAGGCGAGCGCGGAGGTTCTGGAAAGGCCCAAGCGCTGCTGGAGCGGAGCCTGGGGAAGCTGCAAGGGCAGCTCACTTTTTCTGGGTCCTAATGTGGGAAGAGACCCAGGCCCCTGCTCTGTTGCCCTGGGCGCGGGTTCCCCAGGCACCTGTAATCTGGAAACAACATACACACACACACACCCCCACTCACTCACTCACTCACTCACGCACACCCATTTAGGCTGGTGTGCTTCCTGCTAGGCCCTGGGGAAGGAAGGGCTGGGTGGTGGCTGCAGGTAGGGTAATGGAAGTCCAGAGCTGCTCCACGGTGATGCATGGGCTTTCAGTTGTAAAACAGTCCCTAGATTGCAAGTTCAAGGGAAAGAAAGAGGTCTTTCTCAATCTGTTTGGGGTTTTGATTTTGATTCTGATCTCAAAGGCATGGCAATCCCTTCATTTCCTCTTTGGAAAATCTCCATCCTTGCTCCTACTGAGGTCCCCACTCCCAGCAGGCAGTGCCCATAGGTCTGAAGTTCAGAAGGTGGAACCGTGCAGTTTCTCAGGAGCATGCTAGAATCGCCCTTGTATGAATCCAGCACAGAGAAGGCAGGGCTTCTGTGAAGAAGCCTGGATTTACAGGAGAGGCCCTTGGTGTGGAGGAAGCTTAAAGCACTGGACTTAGATGACCTTTCCCGCGTCCTGTTTTACTTTGTCAGGTTGTTTGTTGCAGGACTTGATCTCTGGCCTCAGGTTCCTCCTGTGTAAGGGACAGACTGGACACATCCATGGTGACTGAGCCCTCCACGGATCTCCATTCTAGCTCAAACACTTGCAGGCATTCTGCTTTCCCACACATCATAAAGACCCACTGAGCATGTCAGAGTCCGGTTTCCTTCACTTGATATTCAAGGTCCCTCATCACTGGACCCCTGCATCCCTCATCAGTCCCACTGTGACCACTTTCTCCCCCTCTGCTACCCTTACCTCTAGCAAAACCAAATCTTGAACCATCCTGTGAATGGGAACATACTCCTTCCCTTAACCACTGGACTAACTTCTATGCATCTTTCAACACTTACCTTGCACACCACCTTCTCTGACGTCCCCAGGTGTGCTGATGACTCCCATGTCTGGGGCCCCGCTCTCCCTGGGCGTACCTCTGTTTTACACCCCCACTCTGCACCACTGCCCTTGCTGGCAGATGGCTGTCTCTTCTACTTGAACGTGAGGGCCTCTAGTTCATGTGGTACATGGATTTTATTTCTCGGTCTCCTCAGAAGCAAACAGTAATGTTCAACAAACATTCGGTGTATAAATGAAGGAAACAGATTTTTTAAATCTTGTCAAAGTGGTAGTCTTTTTATTGACCACTTACTCAATGCTCTCCTCAGCCTTTTATGATCATTATCTCATTTAATCCTCCTCTCTATTCTGTGAGGAAGGTTTTCTCCTCCATTTCACAGCTACCCAAGCTAAGACACAGAGGAGCTAATTATTTTGCTTGAACTCTACAATAGCTCCTAAGTGGAAAAACAAGGATTCAAATCCAAATCTCTCTGATTCCAAAGCCCACAGTGTTGTTTTTTAACAATGACAACATTCCTTCCCCCATGATTCCTGTGAGTTGCCGCAGGGGTCAAATTTCCTCCGCCATCAGAATTTTCTGACCTGAAAGATCAGAGCCATCCCAGCAGGGGGAAAATAGAGTTCTAGTTCAATGGCTTAGATCCTGAGACTGAGGACTCAAGGCTGCTTTGGGGACCAAGGCTGGAGCTAGAGAAAAGCAGAGGTTGTCAAAGAAAAAAGATGTGAGATGTGAAAGTGGCATCTTACGCTTCAACAAGGAAGTTCTATAGATACCTAATCACTGTGCAGCCACAAATGGGACTTGAGCCAGACCTGCCCCATAGATGTCTACTCCTACTGCCTGTGGTTCCTATTTGATGGTGTCCTTCTTGCTCCCTGTTAACTACATTTCACCTGGATAAAAATTGGCCAGGAGGGAAGGGGTACTAGAGAAAGACATTATAATTTGCCCAAGCGCTGCCAACCCCTAAGGATGGTGTAAATAATATAATCTCATACAGGTACTAGTTGTTACATATTAATTCATTTGTGCAAATAGAAAATGGTATTTGCTCACTAGTGGAATGAGAAAGGAAATTAAAATACACTATGTAGATACTCAGGATTCTATAGAAAAGAATCCCTGGCACTCAGCAGACAGCAAGGTACTCTCGGCAGCATGTACTAATTCATAAATGGGGTTTGAGTTCTCCACCCCTGTGAGCTGCACAATTTCACATCCCTGATGAAAACTGCAAGGAAGCTACTAATTTTCACTTCAGAAAATGCTCACTGTGAAATTGTATTGGGAATTTAGCCAGAAAGAATTTTTATGTTAATTTCTAGTATGGAGATAGAGAAAGGGAAAAAAAGGAAAAAAAAGAAAAAAAAAAAACTAAAGCTGTTTCAGAGACCAAATAGTCACTGGGGTCATTTTCATTTTCTCACAGGTAAACAAGTCCCCAGATGTCCCCAGTAGTACCATAAATTTATAAAAAGATTTTTGTTTTGTAGAAGACCTGTGGGGCTGGGGTTGGGGGCAGGAGACCAGCAGATCTCCACTTTGGTTGAACAGGAGCTACACTTGGGAATCACAGATCTAAACTACCAGTGACCATCTCCTAGGTCAGGGGTGGGAGATCTATGGCTCAAGGGCCAAATCCAGTCCCCTGCCTGTTTCTGTACAGTCCACAAGCTAAGAAGAGTTGCTATATTTGTAAATGGTTCGAAAAAATCAGAAGAAGAATATTATATGATACATGAAGATTACACGAAATTCACGTTTCCATAACCTTAAATAAAGTTTTAATAGAACACAGCCACACCCATTTGTTTATGAATCATCTATGACCACTTTGGTGCTATGAAGGCAGAACTGAGTAGTTACAACATCAACTCATGGCCCACAAAACGGAAAATATTTACTGTCTGGCCCATTACAGCAAAAGTTTATGTTGTTACTGCAATCAGAAAGGTAATTGACCTTTCGAACTCTGAGAACAGATACCACATCTTTCACCATTTTATCGGAGCACCTGTCACAGTGCCTCTCACAGAGTAGGTGCTCAAGAAGCAAATGAGGGAATTCACAAATGGTTGGGAGGAACACGTCTTCCCACGGGTTTATCTTTCTCCCACAAATAAAGGTGAAGAGAAAGACATGTATCATATGATCTCACTGATATGAGGAATTCTTAATCGCAGGAATCAAACTGAGGGTTGTTGGAGTGGGGGGTGGGGTGGGAGGGATGGGGTGACTGGGTGATAGACACTGGGGAGGGTATGTGCTCTGGTAAGCGCTGTGAATTGTGCAAGACTGTTGAATCTCAGATCTGTACCTCTGAAACAAATAATGCAATATATGTTAAGAAAAAAAAAAAAGAAGAAGAAGAAGAAGGTAGCGGGAGGGGAAGAATGAAGCGGGGGAAATCGGAGGGGTAGACGAACCATGAGAGACGATGGACTCTGAAAAACAAACAGGGTTCTAGAGGGGAGGGGGGTGGGAGGATGGGTTAGCCTGGTGGTGGGTATTGAGGAGGGCACATTCTGCATGGAGCACTGGGTGTTGTGCACAAACAATGAATCATGGAACACTTCATCTAAAACTAATGATGTAATGTATGGGGATTAACATAAGAATAAAAAATTAAAAGAAAGTAAAAAAAAAAAAAAAAGGTGAAGTCATCCAGACTTCTTCCCAGATAAAATTACTATGCATGATGATCTGATGTCACCCAGGGCTACTTTCTTTTATCAACCCATATAACACCACAGTCAGTAAGGTAAGCATCTCATCAGGTCCCAATTGTGCAGATGGTTAAGTTTGTAAGAGTGCTCCCTGATACCTTACATCCTCCAACATTAGCTTAGGTCACTCAAAGCTACAGCACTGAGAAGCTGGAGAATGAAAAGCACCTGCACAAGGACTTAACTTCAAACCTGACTTGTTTTCCAGCCTTCCCTAATAAGCTTCCCTAATTAGCTTAATTCCAGTAAGCCACTTAATGAAGCATGGCGTTAGGGATAGGAAAGGCTGAGAGAGCATGTACGACAGAGTGACAGACTTAAAGGGATATCCCTCATTCAGAGTTCTGAGTAACCCAGACAGGCAAGATGTCTCCAGATCCTTCTATTCCTACTTATGAGTTGGATTGAATCCGCAGACAGATCAATTGAATTGTAGTCAATGAACTTATGTGGTGGCCACGGGAAATCAGTGGTATTTACTACACCCGAGGTCTCAAAGATGACCAGAACTCCTGTCTGCCCTCAAGCTTGAAAGCTATCGGCTCGATAGACATGTGGGCAAAGAATGACAAAGTGCTAAGTGCTATGATGGAAGTACGCAAAAGGTGCAGTAATGGTGCCTTTTAACTAATGCTCTTCTCCTATCTTCACCCCCCACCACTTCCAGCCATGTTCCCACTCTTTGTGATGCTGAATATCACTTCTCAAGGAATCACATTATTATTCTCTCCAGTCTTGACACCCCGATTCTTCCTCACCACCCTCTCCCAGGTATTATATACCAGGAGAGGAAAAAGATTGGCCTTAATGGAGGAGAAGAGAAGGAAAAGAGAAAAACATAAAGGCTACTGGGGAGGCATAACCATGAAGAAATCTGCAAGAAAAATAAAGGATATTCATTATTTTTATTGTTTTTGAGTAATTACTGATAAATACATTCTCCAGCCCTACCCCAAAAAAGTTTCTCTAGGGAAGTCAGAGAAAAACTCATGGAGGAGGCAGTTCTTACAATGGGCCTTAATAGCTGTGCAGGAGTTGGCCCGGTGGATGGGGCCTGGGGAGAAGAGCTAACAAGCTAACACCTCCCTGCTTAAGCTTCTCGAGCAACAGTGGACTCAGTCAGTGTCTACAGACCCTGTTCTCATTCTTGTAGCCCAAACATTAATGGAGGTTGTGATCTGGAATAGAAAAAACGAAGAGGAGAAAAGGGAGAAAAGGTAGGAAGGTAATGGCTTCATCAAGGAAATGGGGTTTGAACAGGGCTCAGTTTTGTCAAGCCCCATCTGTGGGGTCACCTCCCTTTCTGAACACTTTGCTCAATTCCTCCCCACATCCCAGAGGCAAGGAAGCATGACCACACAATGGGGAGGGTAATAACTGTCAGGTCACTGATCCCAAAGGAAGACTGTTCTCAGTTGTACCAACTGTTCTCCTCCCAACTTTCTCTAAGAACAGTAGCTCAATAATGTGACTGGTGAAAAGAAACTGAAGAGCAGGAATTTCATTTATTACCGCACATCTGTTTTCCGAGAGAGCAAATAGAACATTCCACATCCTCTAGCCTTTAAGAGCACCCATCTCTAAAAAACTTTACAGCTTCATTTGGTTTAAATGACAATGGCCTTGGCTCTTCTGCGGAAGCAGAACGGTACTGGTCTTCCAGAATGCCGGCATCGCAAACTGCTGACTGAATTATCTTGTTCTCCTCTTCTCTACAGCTAGAGGGACAGGGGGATCTGTAACTCCTTGCATTGGGTCATATAAACAAAACTGCACTTCTTTTTTTTTTTTTTTTAAAGATTTTATTTATTTATTTGAGAGAGAGAGAATGAAAGACAGAGAGCATGAGAAGGAGGAAGGTCAGAGGAAGAAGCAGACTCCCTGCCGAGCAGGGAGCCCGATGCGGGACTCGATCCTGGGACTCCAGGATCATGACCTGAGCCGAAGGCAGTCGCTTAACCAACTGAGCCACCCAGGCGCCCCAAAACTGCACTTCTTAACCTCAGGTTGGAAGTACATTCTCAGCTTTGAGCAGAAGACTGGGATTGTTCACATGGGAGGTAGGTGATAGTCAGCTCACAGAACAAACCATCTAAACTATAGTAACTTTTAAAATAAAAACGTAGCTTTCTTACTTACAAATTCATACTGTAACTCAGATTGAGAAAGTGCTACCTGATAGGGTCCTGAAGAATTATTGACTAGATAAAGATATCTTTGGTAATTAATCTAGTAGTTTCATGTAAATAAGCACCCCTACAGGAGTTTGAGTATGCTTTCACTAATGATTGCTCAAGCCAACAGAAAGAAAAAAA